ACGCCCCCAGGGGAAGGGGGGACATGTGGGACACGGCAAGAGGACAGGGGACACCACGGGGACATACCAGGGACACAGGGGGGCACATGGGGGTGGCACAGGGAGCACAGGAGGGGCGGGACAAAGAACACCTGGGTCCCCAAAGATGTACAAGGGGACATGGGGAGGACACGGGGGAAAGGCTGGAGGGGACAACGATGCCCTGGGGGCACACAAAAGGGGACAGGGGGAAAACGGGGTCAGGAGCAGCGAGGGGACAGTGACCACACCAGGGGGGCGGGACACGGTGACAACAGGACAGAGTGACAGAGGACAGGCAGGTGCCAGCGCCATACCTGTGTCGGGGCTGGCGGACAGCGGGGAGGGGATGCGCAGGCCGGGCAGGTGACAGCGCGGGGACACGGGTGACATCTGCAGCTCCTCGAGGCGGGTGACCAGGGCCAGGTGGCCGCGGGCGCGGGCCAGGGCCAGCGGCAGCCGCCCCAGGGTGTCGGGGACGGCCAGCGCCCGCCGGTCCCAGCGGCACAGCCGCTCCGCCGCCTCCCGGTGCCCCAGGGCACACGCCCACATCTGGCACGGAGGCGACAGCGTGTCCCCAAGGCGTCCCTCGGCCCCCAGGTGCCACCCTCCGGCCCCGCCTGAGGCACCGCCCTGCGCCCCATCCCCTCGGCATGCATTGCCAGCCCTGTCCCCGCCGCCCCAGCGTCCCCAGCGTCCCCTCACCAGGGGGGTGCAGGAGAAATGGTCCACGTTGAGGGGGTCGATCTCCTGCTCCAGCTCCAGGCTCTCAACTGCCAGCGCCCTGCAGGGACAGGAAGGGACGCAGGCTGGAAAAGTGTCACCTCTGCTCAGGCTTCCCCCGCCTCGTGTCCCCACAGGTGTCCCCCCGGGTGTCCCCCCGGGTGTCCCTGCTCACCGCCAGCGCCGAAGAGCCTCCACCAGGCTGGCGTAGCCCTGGGCGGCCGCCAGGTGCAGCAGCGTCATGCCACGGAAGGTCACCCCGTGCGCCAGCATCGAGGTCCCCGAGGTGCCCAGCGCCGTCCCCGAGCAGCCCGGCCGGGCCATCATGGCCTCGCAGATGGCC